GAACTTAGTGTTCTTCCATGAGGACCAGAGTTTGGATCCTAGCACATGTATGTGTCAGCTCATGAACACCTAATCTCCAGCTCCAAAGGACCCAGCGTGTTTTCTTGCCTCCACAGTACCAGTGCACACACATGAGCATATACCTGCACAGACACACATATAAATTCTTAAAAATTGAAAATGTGGAAAGCATTGGATATATAGTATTAGCAACTGTATTTGGAATGGGATGACAACTATGTACTTTGTTTATAAATATTAAAAATTATCTGCAGAGAACAATCAGAAATTGATTGAATGAAAATAAGAGGTTAGCAAGACTTCTACTGTTTACTGTCATATACTTTTTGATTTCTGACCCATGTGAATATCTATAGTAATTTGAATAATATAGTAATTTGAATAAATCAAATTACTTTATAGCATATTAAAATATCAAGTTATTAAACTAGAATATTAGTTTATACAACATTACTTATTAAAGACCTTAATAAAGAGACTGGGCTTTGAAAAGTAGAGAAAAAGACAACATACTCAGTTTCCTTAGCTGCTTCCTCACTAGTCCAGACATCATTAACAACACATGGCAAACTCCCCTCTGTGTTTGTGCTACTTGGAGCTTGTAGAACTTCTGTTTCCAAATCATCAGGTTCTTCAAAGCAAAATAGGAAGATGTCAGAGGAATAATCTTTCTGTAAGTTATTACTACAATTAGCTTAACTAATACTAATTATATACAAATCAGTAAGTTTTAAGTTTTTTTGTGCTAATTCTGTAGCACAGTCATTTCTGAAATGAAAGAATAGCCCTTTCATCTTTTTGGTATAACAAAAATACTTGAGTACTGTGCACAATACTCCTCAATATTATATAAAATGTATGCCTTACTAAAATTATAATAATATATAACTTAAAGGTACCAAAATGAAAGAATAAACCTATTGTTATTTTCTACAGTATGGAAAAAAGATTATGCTATGAATGATTAGTAAAGAAATTTTAATTTTTAAAATATACTTTCCAACACATACACACACAACACCAGTATGATCACTTGGACCTTTACAATAGCCTTGAGAAGAGCCAGAGGATGCTACTCTATTTTCTTATACCTTCAAATAATTAATAGCTAGGGAACCATCCCTGTTTTTCTGGCAGTCCCTAAAAAAAGAGCCTGCCTATCTATATCTATATCTATATCTATATCTATATCTATATCTATATCTATATCTATATCTATATCTATATCTATCTATCTATCTATCTATCTATCTATCTATCTATCTATCTATCCATCCATCCTCTATCTATCTCTGTGTATAAATATACCTACATGGGTATACACATATGCAAAGTATGTGTAACTATGAAAAGAGGCTAAAAGAGAGCTAGATCCCACAGAGGTGACGTTATTGGTGTTTGTAGGATGGCAGACCATGTTGTATAGGTGCTAGGATCCAAACTCTGGTCCTCAGGATTAGTGCTTAAGTGCTGAAGCCCTCTCTCCAGCACCATTAGGACTTCTCTGTTTCCTGTCTGAGATCATATACTATCTTAATTCAATACCATGCTCACTTTTTCATAAAATTCAGTCATGCTTTTCTTGTCTACTTTTAAATTTCTAATGACTTGTCCCATTATGGAAGACAAGAGACATACACATTCTTGTAATTTTTACCTGTTGCTCACATGAATGTTTTGGTTATTCATATGAGGTAAGTACTGAAGAGAAAGAAGCCTTTTGTTTTTAAAATATGTAATTCTGTTCTAGAATAGAGAAAAAGAGGTGGTGGCAAATAGGTTGGTTGTTTCTAGAAAGGAGCTGTCAGAAGTTTTCCTTCAGGGGTGATTTTTATTACGAGAAAAGGCCTCAAGAAAACAGGAAACATGATCAGGCTTTGAGGCAGGAAAGCATTAAAAAGGGCAGCACCTTCTACCAAACAATGTGAAGGAGAAGGCCTTAAGGAGGAAAGCTTCCTTGTAGAATCTGGAAAGGAGTTTCATAAAGAGGTACAGCTTAAAGTAAGAGACAACTGTCATGGACAACTTCAGAAAAATCCCCTGAACAAAGGACTGTATCTGACTCCCCCCCACCCCCCCAATGTAACAGCCCTAGCTGTCCTGGAACTCTTTTTGTAGACCAGGCTGGCCTTGAACTCACAGTGATCTGCCTGCTGCTGCTTCCCAAGTGCTAAGATTAAAGGCATAGGCCACCATGCCTTGCTGTATCTGACTTTTATATTCGTTCCGGGGCTAGTGAAGCTCCACATCACAAACTTTAGTTCAGCTTAACCCACTGACCAGCAGCATGAAGGAGGCAGATGCAGTGTAGCATTGTAAGTTAGTGGTGACAGCACCACAGCACAGATGGCTCCTTAAGTCTTTGTCCCAGAGAAAAAATAACAGGAGAACGAGGCCTGGGGCCTTCAGGCTGTGAGACTCGACTGTGTGAAGAGATCAGCTTCTTAAAGTAGCAGGTCCATGATCTAACAGTTCCCTAATAATCTTTAGCTGTATTAAAACCAACTTGCTCCATTCTATAAACTCTATTTGTGACCATACTTTTCACAAAGCCTAAATCATTTACTCTACAGTTCTTTGTAGGAAAGTCAAGCTTGCCAATCTCCAACCTAGGCTATCCACTCTCCACTATGAGCATATTTATCCTCTTACTTGATTTTATTTCTTCTTAAAATTTTATTTTTAAGAGAGTACAATAATGCTGTTTTGTTTAAGCTACTATGATAAAATATCAAACTGAGTGGCTTAAACAAAAATTTATTTCCCTTAGTTCCAGAGAATCTAACATCAGGATACCAGCACGGTCAGTTCTGGAGAAAGAGGTTTTCTTCCAGGTACACAGATAGCCTTTTTTCTTCTTGCATTTTTAAAAAGGCAAGAACAAAAAGCTGGCTCTTTGTCTTCTTCTTAGAAGGATGCTAATGTCATTCATGAGACTTCACTGTAATCCAAATTACCTCCAAATACACAGGGAATTAGATTCCAAGTATACATCTTTGGGGGAGCACAGACTTTATTCTGTAACAGCCACTACTAATCATGATTCTTGTGAATAGGATTCTTATACTGTGATGAACTAAAGATGGTTACATGATACTGTCTCTGACAGTTTTGTTATCCAGAAGGCACTGTTTACTTTCACTAGGAAATACAATGATGGTGATGCTATTCCAATTTCTGACTGAATGTTTAAGAAAAGTGACAGCTTCTAGTTGTTATTTGGAAGCCAAGGCATTATGCAAGAGTTCATCTAGCTCAGAAAAACCCCATGGAAATTTTCTGAGATTAAAATATCAATTTGTGTGTGGAAGGAATGTATTAATTTTTAGTTAGAAAGTAGACTGGTTTAAGGTTTAAGGTTAAACCATTTTAACCTTAAAAATGGTTGCGGATTCTTTAACACTCTTCCCTTTGAAAGAGAGGCACAGTTTCCTACCTTGGGCTGCCCTTGTGGGTTTGTGACAGCTGTGACCAAAAGAAGTGCTAATGGTCCCAGTTCAGTTCTCTGGTTAACTTTAAAAAACATAAGCAGCAACAAACAAACAAACCATAGGCAGCTTTTACTGTAGTACCTGAGATGGCTATAGATTCTTTAAAACTTTTCCCTACCAGAGGGGAATCCTATTTTCCTATACCTCAGAATCTCTGAGTCATCATAGAAATCATGTAAGATAAGAAGAATAGGTACTGGAGAGATGGTTCAGTAGTTAAGAGCTCTGGTTGTTCTCCAGGGGACCCAGGTTTAATTTCCAGCATTGAAATGGCTGTTAATCATCTGAAGCTTCTGTTACAACATCATTTTCTGGCTTAGGCAAGTACCAGACACACATGCAGGCAAAATGTACATGTCCATAAAATAATAAAAGGTTTTTAGAAGATAGGAAAACTACAGAATGGCATTGAGATTCCCCAAAGGGGTGAGAGAGAGAGGCCCGTGTTACTCAGCCTTTGATGTGTGCCTTCCAAGAAGGCAGTAAGCCACCAGGCAGGCTCACCAACAGTTGGGCATCACACCAACTGATCTCTTAGGTAAAGACATGATGTAGGAAAATCACAAGCCAAGTCTTGACTCAGTGCCTGATCCCTAAAGTAATGATAGAGTGGCCTGCTACTAGTGTGCATGATCGTCTATGTCTGTAGTTCCAGAATACCAGCAGCCAGAGCAGGACTCTGTATTCTAGGGGATCAGCCTTACCCATGTAATGAAACTCTTGAAAACTCTTGGTCTTGAAAACCAAAAACAGAAAGAAAAACAAAAGACAGTAACTAAAAGTATAAAAATAGTGAGCCTTACTTGAGATAATTAAACATATACACAAATTTTAATGATTTATTTATAAAAACCCATTTATAAGAAAAATTTAGTATGAAATAAAATGTGGGTCACTTTAATGCACTGTAACATACCTTCCACATTTCCTGCTGACTTTGTTGGGGACACCTCAGTAAACTCTGGACTTTTTATTTCCATAGACTCAACAGTAGTTGATGGATTTATTTCTTTTGAAATACATTGTAGATTTTCTTCTCCAGTGAGTAAGGGTTTGTAGCTTTCCCCTCCAGAATAAATCTCTGTAGAAGCAAAAGGATGAACTATCTACTGTTCTCAAACGGTCTTAAGTTTACAATGATATTTAGAGCAAAACACCAAAACCAAACCAAAAAACCTGGATTGTTACACATTTCTTAGTTTCTTAGACATTAGAAACTAATAAATGATTTAAGACAATTTGGCAGCCAAATTTGATTTCATAATTACTTCCAGAGTGGTTAACACATCTGGTTTCTTTTACTTTTTGGGTAAAATTAATACAGCTGTATCAGAATCACATTTTAAAAATTATTAACCAACTTTTTATTTCGTATGTAGCAAATGATATTTACTTATTTGCTATAAACTCTGCACACTTTAGCTATGTCCATGAAAGAACAGTCATCGTAAAATAATCAACTGTAATTACCTACTCTCATCATTCCCGTGTGATTGTTAAACATGCTAGCCTTTGCACCCCCCCCAATTCTGTCACAGGTAGATGATTTTATTTATACAACCAACCTACTAATATATAGACCTCTCTGTTCATTGAACTACTCTTTACCTCACTATCTTGGCTTTTTAATAAGTTATATCTTAGAGACCTTATAAATTATGGCTCCTCAAAAGTTCCAATTTTAAGAATTCTCATTTCTAGTCCTTATTGCTATTTTTTACTCATCTTCTCCTACGATAGCTTTTTTCAAATAAGGTCTCACTATTAGCCCTTGCTGGTCTGGAATTTCCTATGTAGACCAGGCTAGCCTTGACCTCAGTGATCCACCTGCCTCTGCTCCTAAGTGCAGGGATTAAAGGCATAGACCAACATGCCTGGCCCTATTCTAGCTTTGTAAAAATTTGATTTTTTCATGTTTGAGGAAGAAGGGGAGGGGTATATTGGAAAGGTTTGCAGGGAGAAAAGGGAAGAAGAAAAATTGTAATTTCAGAAATCTCAGAAAGTTTTGTTTTGGATGTATGTATAATGACTGATCCTTATAGTTTCTCCATCTTCAGATCCAACCATCTAAAAGCCACCATTTGCATACACCCTCAGCTTATTAAATTCACTTCATTGTACTCGTGTGGAAAAACCCTAAGTTCAATTCAATTTCTTCACATGCCTGGTTGACCTGATTGGAGAACAATAGGAGCTGTTGTCAAGTGACCTCAACTTCAATTCATTACGTCTTTCTATGGTTTAGAAATAGATGGCCCAAGTGTCCCTGAAGGTATTTGTTTGAGTTTGGTGATGTTAAAGAAGTGGTAAGACCTTTAAATGGAAGTCCGTAAAGACACTCTTTTCATGACTTATGGCTATGAGATTTGCCTTTAATGAGAAATTAACAACCTACTTTTGCCTTTTTGTAACATACACAAAGGCTCTTTTCTCAGTTTATTTCTCAGCATCTAGCTACTACAGAACATATGTCAATATCCTCATGTCATGAGTCAATTTTTCATGTGCTTTAGATATGAGTTTTACACTAAACTTTGAGGAGTAACAAAGAAAAAAGAATGTGAAAAGTGGCATAGATGCCTAGACACCAATCATATCTCAACACAGTTCCATCCACTCCGTATGTTGTGAACAGGGTGTTCAGTGGGAAGGCTTCTGTACACCGTCACTCCTCCTCAGGTGCTGCTGTGACAGCCAAATATATAAGATTCACAGATCCAGAATGCCTTCCTTCTCTGTCCTGACCAGCACACCCTCCCAGTCCCATTACTCAGCGTTACACATTACTCTGATATTTCTTCTACTTAATTCAATTCTGGTGTCTCTTTTAAAGATACACTATATATCTTAATAAATTGTTTCAATGGTTTCCCTCATGGAAAACATGCTTGGACTTTTTCAGTTCCCTATCCAGATTTCCTATTCTTTAGATTTCATTCAGATGTAATAAAGTCAGAAGATTCCCTTAGGATCAATGCCCAGAAGGTAAAATAAATCCACACAATTAAGTGAGGACATCTTAACACATTAATTTTTAATATTACTTTTCTTGTGCTTACCAGTTTTAAAAGCTGTGTTTTCTAGTAGTTCTGTCTGTAGTTGGAGTTCAGCTTCTCCGAGTATCTTCAGCACAGAATCTTTGGGGCTTTTTTCCCAGACTTTTCTTGGAGAGCCATTAGGATCTAACTTAATAACCTCTCCCACAGTATGTGCTGTGAGAAAAGAAATTTAGAGAAATAATTCTCAAAGAGTAATTCACTGTTTAGAAGATTTAATTTCTATTATCCAACCATAAGATAGATATACATTTTGTGCTAAAAGGTAGAAAATTTGCCTTATTTTAGCTTATATACCATAAGTAGACAACTAATACTTCCTTTTTACAAAAATAATTCTGAATAAATAATTTAAATAAAATTTATCAAAGCAAAAATATTAGGATCATAAGAATATTTGATAATAAAACATGGATATAGGGACTGGAGAGATGGCTTAGTGATTGATAGTAGCTCCAGTTTCAGTGGCTTTTAGGCCTCTTGTAGCCTCTGTAGACACCAGGCACCAACGAATGCATAGACATGCATTCAGGCAAAACTCTCATACAGATAAAATAAATAAAATGAACCCCAAATGTATGTATACTTAAGAGTAATGCATATATTACAAGGTATAAGGTTAATATGGCCTTATAAATGTAGCCTACACAAGATGATGTTTTTAAAAACTATTAATGATGCTCAATCTTGGTTGTCAACCTGACTGGACCTGGAATCAATTGAAAAGCAGAGAGGTACCCTTGTACAGGAGTTTCTTGGTCATACCCCCAGTGAGCACAGCACCTTCTGGTGACAGACCATGTAAAAGGTAGCCCAGGAAGCTTTGCTTTTTGCCTGCTTGCTTTCACTCTCACTGGCAAGTTCATTTACTCTGTTGCTGCTGTTGCTGCTGCCTTTGTTGTACTCCTTCCCTGATTCCAGACCCCAGTTTCTTTATATTTCCAAGATCAACTAAAGACCAGTGGGTCTCAGGAATCCTCCAGGCCTTTGATACCAGACTAGAACTCATGAGCCATCCAGCCCCTCAGAGTGAGCACCTTCTGGATTCTTGGCCTGTTTTAGAAGACTCAAACTGTGTCATCTCATGTAAGCCAATGTAACAAAGCCTCTTGTAATATGGATTCACTTTATAGGTTCTGTTCTTCTACAGAACCTTGACTAAGACACCACCTGAAAGACACATTATTAGGATTTAGGATGTAGCATAGAGGGGAACAGCAAACAGACTCCAAGTTATAAAGACACATACAAATCACCAAGTAATAGTCAGTTTTGTATGACCGACATGATTAGCATGAGACATAATTTTTAGAAGTATGGGTTAAGGCAAAAGACACATACGTCATAAAAGAAGATATAAATCTAAATGTTTGTCTAGTTTTAACTTTGTAATGAATGTTTCCTGGTGGATAAGATATACACACATAACTGACAAGTGGAAGTGTAAAATCCAATGTGAAGCCCCGAAGATTTAGAATGGCTGTTTTCTGAGCTACCACGGGCCACATCCGAGCAGAAGTTCTAGGTTATATCCATAGATGGTCCTTGGTTGAGTGTCAGTCTCAGAAAAGACCCTGTGACCAAGTAGTTTCCCAAAGTAAGGGGATCACGGACTATTTCTAACAGGATCTCAAGGGCAGGCTGTTTGACCCCCCCGCCCCCCAGGGGAGGAGCAGTCTGTTAGGCCACAGAGGAGGACTTTGCAGCCAGCCCTGAAGATACCTGATAAAACAGGGTCAAATGAAAGGGAAGGAGGTCCTCCCCTATCAGTGGACTTGGAAAGGGGCAGGGAGGAGACCAGGGAGGGAGTGTGGGGTTGGGGAGGGAATGAGGGAGCGGGATACAGCTGGGACACAGAGTTAACAAAATGTAACTAAAAAGAAAAAAAAAAAAAAAAAAAAAAAAAAAAAAAAAAAAAAAAAAAAAAAAGAATGGCTGTTTTCACCGTATAGAAGTTTGTTGAGATGTATAGACTTTGGGTCTGGTTAATCTTGCTATATGATTTTTTTTTTCTTAATTTGCAAGTTCTTTATAATAACCTTTTAGTTGAAAAGTGCTTAAAACAGGATGAAAAAAAAAACAAGACTAAGACTCAGAACTTAAAGTTATTTCATATGTAAGAAAAAGTACCAAGTAATATCAATAAAAAAGAAAATTACTGGAACAAATGAAATTGGAAAAGCTGAATTCCCATTAAAAAAAATCAATCTTTTTATAATAGCCTTGAATTCATTGGCATAGGAGACAATTTCCTGAATAGAACACCAACAGCTCAGGCACTAAGATCAACAATTAATAAATGTGACCTCATGAAACTGAAAAGTTTTTGTGAGGCAAAGGATACCATAAATAGGACAAAATGGCAGCGTACAGAATGGGAAAACACCTTCACCAACCCTACATCTGACAGAGGGCTAATATTCAAACTATATAAGGAATTCAATAAGTTAAAACACTAACACCAAATAACCCGATTAAAAAATGGGGTATAGAGCTAAACAGATAATTCTCAACAAAGGAATGGCCGAGGAACACTTAAAGAAATGTTTAACACCCTAGTCATCAGGGAAATGCAAATCAAAATGACTCTTAAATTCAATCTTACACCCCTCAGAATGGCTAAGATAAAAAACTCAAATGACAGCACATGCTGGTGAGGATGTAGAGCAAGGGGAACACTCGTCCATTGCTGGTGGGAGTGCAAACTGGTACAATCACCTTGGAAATCAATCTGCAATTTTTCAAAAATTGGGAACAGTTCTACCTGAAGACCTAGCTGTACACTCCTGGGCATATACCCAAAAGATGTTTTACCAAACAACAAGGACATTTTCTCAGCTATGGTCATAGCATCTTTATTCATAATTAACCAGAAAATAGAAACAACCTAGATGGCCCTTAGCCAAAGAATGGATAAAGAAAATGTGGTACAATTGTACAATGGAATAGTACTCAGTTATTAAAAACAAGGACATATTAAAATTTGTAGGAAAATGGATGGAACTGGAAAATATCATCCTGAGTGAGGTAACCCTGGCCCAGAAAGACATGCATGGTATGTACTTACTTATAGGTGGACATTAGACATAAAGTACAGGAAAACCAGGCTACAATCCACAGAGCCAAAGATTCTAAATAACAAGGAGGGCCCAAGGGAGGATGCTTGACTCTCACTCAGAAGAGGAAGTAGAACAGTCATTGGAGGTGGATGGAAGGAGGAAACTGGGTAAGAAAGAAGATGAGAAGGGGATCAGGAGTGGGAATTAGAAGTAGGGAAAGCTGGGAATTGAGGGTCAGTGAGAGAACAGAAATCATCGGTGGGAGTCATCTCTGGGATGAGCTGAAGACCTGAAATGAGGGAGGCTCCAGAGAGTCTATGGGGGTGACCACAGCTGAGACTCGAGCAGCAGGGGTTAAGGAGACTGAAGTCACTACCTCCAGTAGCCAGGCAGGCTCCCAGTACAGGGAGGGGGACACCAACCCACCCACAAAATCTTCAACCCAAAATTTGTCCTGCCTACGAGAAGTGTAGGGATAAAGATGGAGCAGAGTTCAAGGGAAGTCCAACCAATGACCGGCCCAACTTGAGACCTATATCCTATGGGAGAGAGCCAGCCCTTGATACTACTGATGAGAGTGCTATGTTTGCAGACAGGAGCCTAGGTAGAAAAATTTTCTTCTAAGAAGCTTTACCCAGGAGCTGATGGAAACAGACACAGAGACCCACAGCTAAAGAACAGGCTGAGCTTGGGGAATTTTATGGAAGGGTGGGAGGAAGGACTGAGGGAGCTGGAAGACCTCCACAAGAAGACCACAGAGTCAACTAATCTGGGGATCTGGGGCCATGGGGGTTCACAGAGACTGAACCACCAACCAAAGAGAATGCATGCACTGGACCTAGAACCTCCTACACATATGTAGCAGGTGTGCAACTTGGTCATTACGTGGGTCCCCTAACAATGGGAGTAGTGGCTGTCTTTGATACTGTTGCCTGCCTTTTGATCCCTTTCATCTAGCTGGGTTGCCTTGTCTGACCTCAATGGGAAAGAATGGGCTTAGTCCAACTGCAACTCAATGTGCCAGGGTGGGTTGGTACCCAGTGGGGCTCCTCTTCTCTGAGGTGAAAGGGAAAGGGGAATGGGGAGAAGAGAGCATGACGGTGGGACTGGAAGGATAGGAGGGAGGGGACTTTCGATTAGGATGTAAAGTAAGTGAATAAACAAACAAACAAACAAATAAATAAATGGAAAAATGGTTTGTAACAACTTGAAATAAAATAAATCCCTTTAAAGCATGGGGAGAAAAATTAGCAGGGTTGGTGGTGGTTCTGAACTGAAGAGACAAAACCTTGGAGTTTAAGAATTGACAAAATGACTAGTCAGAAGGAGTCCCCAAAACAAGGACATAATAGAGAAAACTCAGATTTCATAAAGCAGCTGCACATCAATAGTTGAACACTGATTTGCACATCATGTGCAAGGAAATCATGTAGTCTCTACAGAAGACCACCCTAAAGGAAGATGAAGAGGAAGGCTTGGAGTTCATAGAAAGCCAAAAATAGTTCCTATTTCCATCAGTGAGAACAGAAATATTTATGATTCATGAACAATTAGGCAGATTGTTCAGAAAGACTGTTGATTCAGTCAAGGGGAAAGATTAGCCATAGACTAAACACTGATTGATTCCACTTAACAGAATTTAGATGAAGACCTAAAAGGATCAAGATATTCATAACTAAATTAACTCTATTTTATAACAAAGGCCAAGAATAGTTATAGAAATATAATACATAAACTCCACAAATTAAAATTTAGTGTTTTGTCCCTAAACAAAAAATAATCAGGCATGATTATTTTTTGCCTGATTAACTGATCTAAACCAATGTCCAAATAACAGAGATGAGGAGATTACTTATTGGAAAAGGACTTTAATTTATAATGATTATTGTAGTTGAATCCCATTGCTTCAAACAACTAGGGTTTGAGCCCATCACCAAAAGAAGTAAGAAGGAAGAAAAAAAAGGAAGAGGAGAAACAGCAGAAGAAAAAGGAAGAAGAAAGAAGAGGAAAGAAGAAGAAAGAAGGAAGAATAAGAAAGAAGAAAGAAGGAAGAAAAAAGAAGAAAGAGGAAAAAAGAAGAGGAAAGAAGAAGAAAGA